GGTTGCCTCTTCACTTTCCTGACTCTTTCTTTTGCAGTACAGAAACTTCTCAATTTGATGCAATCCCAATTGTTAATTTTGGCTTTGACTGCCTGTGCCTCCGGGGTCTTTTCCAAGAAGTCTTTGCCTGTGCCTATATAACACATACAAATTAAAAATAAATAAATATAAAAAATAAAAATTAAAAAAAATTTTTTTTTAAAGTTTTCATGGACACAAACTCCTCCTGTCTTCCTATACTATCCTTGGCAGGTGGCTTTTTATCTTCTGTATCACAGAATGGCTGCTGCATCCCCAGGATTCAAGTCTATTCCAGGCAGGAAGAAGGGTAAAACTCATTCTCTCCAGAGAACTTGCCTTTCAGTCCTAGAAAATCAGGCCTTTCTCGGGGGTTCCGGCCCCTGCCTCGTTGGCCAGACCTCGCTCGCACTGTTACCTGCCACTGCAAAGGAGGCCTGAGTTCTAGTGCTTAAAGTAAAGCAGGGAGAGAAAAGGGAGTGGAAAGCAGCTGAACGTGGCCCCCAAGGGCTGTCACAGCGAGTGACACTGTCAAAGCGGTGTTGGGGAAAGATCACTGTGCCAGGTGAGCCCCAACAACCAGCTCCAGAACTCAAACACAGACCCCAAGTGGCAGCCCCAGCTCCTCCACTCGTTAGCCGTGGGAATCACTGACTTCTCAAGGCTTAAGTTTCCTCACCTTGAAAAAAAAAAAAAAGGGATTTCTAAGGCCCCCTTCTCACTTTAAAATTCTCTGATCCTAAGTCCTAGCTTGAAGTTTACTAAAAACGGACTTGGTCCTGAGTGATTGCCAGCACGAGGGCAGTAAAAGGATTCCCTTCCTTTCTTGCTGATCCTCGGTGAGGTTCGCTTGCTTCTGGGGATGGAGTTTCATTTTCACAAAAGACTCTGTGCAGAGGGACAGATATTGTCCAAAAGCCACAAGGTGAGAAAAAGCAAAGTCAGGGTGAAGAACAACGAGGCTTGCAGAGCCTTTTCTCACCAGGGTCCTGTTCCTCTTCTCGACCTGCCACAATCGTACAGGAATGAAATCCACTCCTCTGTGGAGGCCACATTACATCTCATTTTCCCAGTATCTACAAAAATATAATTTTACATAAGTGAGTTTGCCACATAGTTGACCTTTAAAAAAAAAAAGGCAAACTTCCCTCTCCCACTTTTGGGTGCTTTCTAATCTCACTAAATAATACAATGCAATCTCACTGAAATATACAATGTGCTTCTCTGTACTCTGAGAAAGAACACCTCGGGCTGAGGTCCTGGCACAGCAGGTAATACCGCTGCCTGCAACACCGGCATCCCCTATGAGCATGGGTTCCAATCCAGCTCCGTGTTAATGGCCTGGGAAAGACAGGGGAAGATGGCCCAAATGTTTGGACCTCTGACACCCATGTGGGAGACCTGGATGCAGCTTCTGGCTCTTGGGTTCAGCCTGGCTCAGTCCTGGCCATTGCAGACATCTGGATAGTAAACTAATAGATGGAAGGTCTTTCTCTGTCTGTCTCTCTTTCTCTGTAACTCTGATTTTCAAATAAATAAATAATTTTTTTTAAATGGGGGACCAGTGGGTTAAGCCCTCACCTGCAATGCTGGCATTCCATGTTGGACTGCCAGTTCAAGTTCCAGCTGCTCTTCCTGCTAATGTGCCTTGGAAAGCAGTGGAAGATGGCCCAGGTGCTTGGGCCCCTGCACCCATGTGCAAGATCAGGATGAAGTGCCTGGCTCCGGGCTTCAGCATGGCCCAGTCCAGGCCATTGCAGTCATTTGGAGAGAGGACCAACAAATGAAAGATCTCTTGTTTCTCCCTTTCTTTCTGTCACTCTGCCTTTCATATAAATAAAATAAATCTTCAAAAAAAATAGAGAATAATGAATATAATTTTACTTTTTAGAATTATATCCATTTTTTTTAATTTTAAAGGCAGAGAGATAAAGAGATCATCTATCCATTGGTTCCCTCCCCAAATTCTCACAACATCCAAAGCTGAGCCAGGCCATGCCAGGAGCCAGGAGTAGCAGGAAGCTGAATCAGAAGCAGAGGAGGGGGCTGGTGCTGTGGTTAAAGCCCCAGAGGGTTAAAGCCCCAGCCTGCAGCACTGGGATCCCATGTAGTCACTGGTTTGAGTCCTGGCTGCTCCTCTTCCAATCCAGCTCCCTGCTAATGCACCTGCGAAAGCAGTCGAGGATGGTCCAAGTCCTTGGGCCCCTGCACCCACATGGGAGACCTGGAAGAGGCTCCTGGTTCCTGGCTTCAGATTGGCTTGGCTCTAGCCATTGTGGCCATTTGGAGTGAACCAGCGGATAGAAGACCTCTCTCTCTCTCCCTCTCTCTCTCTCTTTCTCTCTCTAACTCTTTCAAGTAAGTAAAAATAAATTAAAAAAAAAAAGAAAGAAAGAAAGAAAGAAAGAAGCAGCAGCAGCAGCAGCAGCGGAGGAGCCAGGACTCTATCCCAGGCACTGCAGTGTGAGATATGGGTCCCCTAGTCAGAGGCTTAACCTGCTGAGCCGCAACACCTGCCCCTAATTTATTTATTTGAAAGGCAGAGTTACACTGGGAGAGATAAAGAGGGAGGGAGGGAGAGAGAGAGAGAGAGAATCGATCTTCCATCCGCTGTTTCACACCTCAAATGGCCTCAACAACCCCGGTGGTGCCAGGCCAAAGCCACACATGTGTACAGGGACCCAAGCACTTGGGCCATCTTCTGCTGCTTTCCCAGGTGCATTAGCAGGGAGATGAATCAGAAATGAAGGAGCTGAGTCTCAAACCAGTGCCCATTTGGGATGCCGGCATTGCCAGCGGCAGCTTAACCCACTGTGCCACAATAGCAGCCCCTAATTTCCCATCTTGTTGGCTCAGAGACAGTGGTGTTTCGTGTACTCTTGGGGCATAAAGGCAGCTACACAAGGGGTGTTTGCCCTTTTGCAAAATAGCCGACAGACCTTTGTCCATTTCTGTTTGGTTGGTTGATAGGTATGTTAGTCACAAAATGTCCATTTCTTTCTCTACTGTAAGTTTCAGGCTGTCAGAGAACTTACAAAGCATGCTTCTTGTTACAAAGGGTAACCCTACCTCTAACAGATCTCAATTCTTTATTCTCCCATTCTCATTCCCTCTTTCAAACCTGCTGCGGGCCGAGAAACCAGAAAACCAGACTATGTGTTCACAGTCATTGGTGATACCGAAAGAAAAGGTTGTTTATAGTAAGAAAAGCTCAGAGACGGGGCTGGTTGTTTTCACTCCTTAGAGGCCCTTTCCCTTCTTTCTGGTTGTGTAGTTCTGTAATGGGGAGATGAACTTGCCGGAGTTCTGACCTCTGGGTAGATTGAACAGCTGCCATACTGTTGAAGCATACACAATATGATCCCAGAAATAGAAAACAAAACAGATACAAGTCTTTTTCAAAGAGTAGTGCGCAGCAGAGAGGAGCACTAAGAGCAGGCTATGCTCTGCCTTGCTTTGGCTTATGATGCTGTTTCAAGTTGGAAATGTATGAGCCGACCTGCTACTATTTAATGAGCTAGGGATTTTTTTTACTTGTATGATAAAGTAAACCTCACAAATTGTCATGAACAATGATCATTAGGAAAATGAAAATCAAAAACACACTGAGATTATCACCTGTCACCTGTTAAAAATGGCTGGTATCAAAAAGACAAGGGGGCGGCCATTTGCCGAGCAGTTAAGACAGCAATCGGGATGCCCATGTCTCACACCAGAGTCCCTGGGTCCAGTCTTGGCTCCAGCTCTACATTCCATTTCCTGCTAATGCCGAGTTTGGGAGGCAGCAGCTAATGTCTTAACTGGTTGGGTTCCTGCCACCCAAATGGGAGACATGGATTATGTTCCTTGCTCCCAACTTCAGTACCCCTGGATGTTGAATACATTTAGGAAGCTCTCTGTTTAGCAAATAAATAAAATTAAGTTTAAAAAAAAAAAAAAGACAAGAACTAAGCGTTGTTGAGGGTGTGGAGAAAAGGGAACCCTTTTACACTATTGGTTGGAGTGTTGATGTGTGCATCATTGTGGGAAAGAGCCTGGAGGGTTCCCAAAGAATTAAAGATAGAATGACCATAAGATTCATCGGTCCTTCTTCTGGGTATTAACCCAAAAGAAATGAAATCAGTGTCCTTGTTTGGCACAAAATTGTTCACAGTAGCCAAGAGACAGAAAGAACCTAAGTGTCTGTCAGTGGATGAAAGTGTAAAGAAGTTGTAATAGGTGTGTGTGTTTGTAATATTTGTGAGATATAGATATATAAATAAATATATATAAAATGTAATATTTCTCAGGCTTTAAAATGGAGACCTTGTTGTTTGTGACAGCATGGATGAACTCAGAAGGCACTATGCTAAGTAAAATGAGCCATATGCAGAAAAACATTTAATGATATCACTTGTGATACCTAAAAAAAACCAAAAAGGCTCAAATACACAGAAACAGAGAATAGAAAGGTGGTTTAAATGGAGAGAAGCAGGTCAGAAGGTACAGAGTTTCAGTTATATCCGATTAATAAGTATTGAGAGCGAAGTACAATAGAAGGGCTATAGATAATAATATTGCATCCTGGAAATCGACAAAGACATTAGATTTGCGGCACTTCTACCATCAAAAAAAAAAAAAAGCAACTCTGTGAAGTGATAACTGTGTTAGTTTGCTTCCATGTAGTAATTGTTTAAGTGTATGTGTGTTAAAACATAATGTTGTATACCTTAGATCTATAACATTTTAGAAAAAGGATTTTCATGTAGTGCTGGGACAAAGTCCACAAAACGGGGCTTACAGAAGAAGAGCAAAGCATAGTTCTCTGTTTATGAGAGTAGCGTGATGTAAGAGTTTATATGACTTCACATGGAAGCCGTATTTTGTTATTTGTGCAAAATCCACAGGACTATTTTATGCTTTTTAATTTATCTTTATATTCATATCTTATCCAAAAAAATGTTTCTTCTTCATTAGTTTGTTTTTTCTCCTCCCTTAATCAGCATGACTTTGTTCGAAGAGAGCGGCCACCACGTGTCCTCATTGACCTTATACAGAGAACAAAAGATGCTGTTCGTGAGCTCGATAACCTACAGTACCGGAAAATGAAAAAAATCCTCTTCCAAGAAACACGGAACGGACCCTTGAATGAGTCACAGGAGGACGAAGAAGTAGGTTTGGTGTGTCTCAGCAGGCACTGTATGGAGGGCCAACTATGTGAAAAGCTTCTGGCCTGGGCACTCCGAAATGTTCTTGTGAGGATTAAAAACAAATTTTTTTTTAATTGCTGTTTTCTCCCTTAAGAGACATGCAGAGTCTCAAAAGAAACCTTCATAAAATACCACTCACGTAAGGCAAAATATGGCTACATGCAGAAGGGGTGTATCACCATTGCAGAGGTCCACAGTGGGGAGAAAGTATGTGTACTGATGAAATTAGTGGGCGTTCCATGGATGACACGATGGGGTGGTTTTTGACAAATGGACAGAGGGCATTGTAGACTCAGGAAAGTGCTGTGATTTTTTTTTTTTAAGATTTATTGACTTATTTATTTGAAAGAGTTACACAGAGAGAGAGATTCCATCCGCTGGGTCACTCTTTAGATGGCTGCAGCAGCTGAAGCCAGGTCTCCTATGTGAGTAGCAGGAGCGCTGTCAGCATCCCAGCTGCTCCACTTCCAATCCAGCTCCCTGCTAATGACCTGGAGAAAGCACCAGAAGATGGACCAAGTGCTTGGGCCCCCACCACCCACGTGGGAGATCCAGAAGAAGCTCTTCGTTCCTGGCTTTGGCCTGGCCCAGTCCTGGCCATTGCAGCCATCTGGGGAGTGAACCACCAGCAGATAGCAGATATCTCTCTGTCTCCATCTCTCTCTGTAACTCTGACTTTCAAATAAAAATAAGTAAATCTTAAAAAAAAAAAAAAAGAAGAAGAAGAATATTCCTAGAAGATGAAGGCATCACAAATGCTAAGAAAGTACACAGCTGCAAGGACTCAGTGGCAGTGAGGTCAATTCAGACCAAGACAGAAGACAAATAGTACCTTTTTACTCTGAGAATCAGCACACACTCAAGGACCTCAGTAAAAGCGATTTTAAATGTGAGGCAGGACAAATAGTAGATTGCCTGACTTGTGGAATAAATGGAAGACCAGAAAGTAGAGACAGCAAAAGTTAGTTTATTTTAGGATTCAGAATTGTGGCTAAGAAGGACAAATAAGAGAGGCAGATACAGAGAGGTCCGTACATATGGGACAGGCTCCTTTATTTGTATGGAGAAGAAATGGAGCCAGGACATGGGCATTAAAAGCAGAGGAAAGAGAGTTAAAGAAGCAGGATCTTGGAAAATGGATAGGATAGAAACAAGAGTATGGATGCAGGCAATGGTCTTGAATGGAAGAAAGGACTTTTTAAAAAAAAAAAAAATTATTTATTTGAAAGGCAGAGTTACAGAGAGAGAGAGAGAGGTCTTCCATCCACTGGTTCACTCCCTAAATGGCCACAATGCTGGAGCTGAGCCAATATGAAGACAGGAACCTGGAGCTTCTTCTGGGACTCCCACACAGGCACAGGGGCCCAGGCACTTGGACCATCTTCCACTGCTATCCCAGACCATAGCAGAGAGCTGGATAGGAAGTGGCGCAGCCGGCACTTGAACCGGCCCTGATACGGGATGCTGGCACTGCAGCTGGCAGCTTTACCTGCTATGCCAGAGTGCTGGCCTCAGAAAGAACTTCTTCTAAAACTAAATTTTAAAAAGAATGAATGAGGTGGATCTACTTTAACATTTTAATATTAAATAATTTTATCAATAATTATAAAAATGAACCTCAGAAAACTGAATTGTACTATAAAATCTCTTGACTGTATGTATAGAAGTGATCCCCTTTAAGGAAAAATAAATCTATTAAAAATATAGTATCTACCATTATCACCCTGTGACTCCTCCTTACAGATACTACTGTGGCTAAGTAGCAGTTCATTAAAGTCATATATGTACAGTATGGTTCTTTTAAAACAAGGTTTATTTGTAGCTAAATTGACTAATCTTATATCAAAAGATATCCAACTGTGATGGATGAACTATATGTTCTGATTATTTTGCAACTTTCAAATAGTAGTCATTGGACCAATGGTGATGAACGCCAGTATTGGTTAACAGATATATTTTAATAAGATTACAGAGGTAAGCATGATAGAATTGCTTGAGGGAGGCAGAATTTAATTATCTGTCCAAAACAGTAGAATTAATATCCCTGCTTAAATATGAAGTTACTCAATAATGACTTGCAGAGGAGCCTAGTGCTTGTCAAATCCCTGAAAGCTCTTTCCATTCCACTTTAGTCTGCAGTTACCCACTCTGTGTTTGCAGGTGTCCCAGAGGGCACCGGTTCAGCAGCCAGCAGTCTCCCCAGCACCTTGGTGTTCCCAAAGGTCCTCTTACAGACCTGGCCTGATTCTGCTTGCTCAATGGCAATACGATGATAGGATCATTGTGCGTGACAGGGGAAAGCCCTGGGATAGCAGCATTTGGAGCCCTGTGACCTGTGTCCATTTGGAGCCCTATGGCCCCGTGTCCCTCTCCTGGGGAAGGCATAGAAGTGAATTTGAAATGTCTGGAGGTGGTAGGGGAGTAGGGGAGCCACTCCATAAAAAGTTTCATCCTTGCAGATTGGCCAAAAAGCAACGTGGCACTGCAAAATCGAGCGTGCTTCACAGCTGAGTCAATGGATTGGCGCTTTATCGCCGTTTTTTTCTAACCTTGGTGCTCCACTTTTGTAGGACAGTGAACACGGAACCAGCCTTGGCAGGGAAATGGACAGCCTGGGCAGCAACCATTCCATCCCGAGCATGTCCGTGAGCACGGGCAGCCAGAGCAGCAGCGTGAACAGCATGCAGGAGGTCATGGACGAGAGCAGCTCCGAGCTCGTCCTGATGCATGACGACGAAAGCACCATCAATTCCAGCTCTTCCGTTGTGCACAAGAAGGTGGGTGTCGTGGGACCCTTCACCATAGCAGGTCAGTCAGAGCAAAGCCAGCTCAGGGCCTTTGGCACCCACACAGTCTTAGTGACCTTTTTGCAGCTGAAGTCCAAGACCAAACCTAGCACTTGGCAGTTTCCTTATGGTAAAGATACAACCAAGGACGGTGCCGACTGGCTCCAAGCCTAATGTCTTCATCTTACTCTCTCATGACTCTGATGTCTGTGCATCATCACCAATCAACAAAAGTAAATAAATCCATAAATCATCAAGTCGAAGAATCTGGTAAGTTCTTCTCTGAGCCAGCAATCTTAATGCTGTGGGCTTTCAAATCTTCCAGAGTGTATAACCTGTTGGTTGTGTCCTTTTAGAAGCACACTCTTTCAGAAGGATGTACTTAAATCCATACTCCCAACAAACTGTGTTAGAAATAATTTCTATCTTCTCTGCCATTTCTTGGACATACTGTTTATTATTCTTCTAAGGCTAGCTCTCTGCTGGCACAAATAATCTGACTTTTATAATAATCTGAAACATTCTGGCTTTTTGTTTGGTTTACTTCTCCAATTAAAGATCTCCATTTTGTACAACTCTGTCATGATGGAGATAGTTTATTAAAAATGTGAAAATTTAGCCGGCGCCGTGGCTCAATAGGCTAATCCTCCACCTTGCGGCGCCGGCACACCGGGTTCTAGTCCCGGTTGGGGCGCCGGATTCTGTCCCGGTTGCCCCTCTTCCAGGCCAGCTCTCTGCTATGGCCAGGGAGTGCAGTGGAGGATGGCCCAGGTGCTTGGGCCCTGCACCCCATGGGAGACCAGGAAAAGCACCTGGATCCTGGCTCCTGCCATCGGATCAGCGCGGTGCGCCGGCTGCAGCGGCGGCCATTGGAGGGTGATCCAACGGCAAAGGAAGACCTTTCTCTCTCTGTCTCTCTCTCTCACTGTCCACTCTGCCTGTCAAAAAAAAAAAAAAAAAGTGAAAATTTAAAGCTTCTTTCAAAGCAATTTCTAGAAGGTGAATATTTCATAGCTTTGTCAGAGTTCTCCAAAAGTGTTTTTAGAGATCTTAGGTAAGTAGTCCATAATATGGAATTATAGAAAAGGATCCTGCATGGTTTTTTCTTTATGAAGTATATGCAAGGAATATGTGTGCTTATTTTAATGAATGGCAGCGATCACATTAAAATTCCAGTGGGAGAGCGTATCTGAGAATTTTTCCCACTTAGACTTGTATAGGTTGTTCATTTTTCTTGAGAGGAAAGGGAAATTGAGTAGGGAAGGAAGAGGGCGAGAGAGAATGTGTCGGTGTCCAGTGGTGAACAGTGGAGGGAGACGTTTCTTTTCTGAAATGGATTCATTGGTTTATTCACTGGTGGGGACGTAGACTGGGTTCCAGAAACCATGGTGGACTCCACAACTCCAGAAGAAATAAAGCAGACGTGGTACCTCCATGGGGCTTCTTACCATGCAGGAGGGAGGGGACCTTGTTGTTAGGAAGCTCGCTGTAGACAATCTAGCAGAAAATCATGTACACCTGCCTGATGAAGTGACATTTAAGCTGAAACTTCAAAGACAAGTAGCAGCCTGCTAGCTTGGGTTAAGAAATGGGAGCGAGTCAAAAAGCAACAAATAGAAAAGCCCTGAGACCCCAAAAAATAAACCAAGCAAGCAAAAACACCTAAACTAAAAACAAACAATACCAACAAAACCATCATTGATTGTACAAGTGTCTTCCAGAAATTCGCGGGAAATGGAATTAAAAGGCAGGTTTAGGTGCCAGCATTTGGCCTAGCAGTTAAGAGCCCAGTTAAGACATGTGCATCCCACACTGGAGTACCGGTTCCTAGCTCTGACTCTTGGTCCCAGCTTACTGCCAGCGCAGACTCTTGGAGGTGGCAGATGATCGCTCACATAGCTGGGTCCCTGCCACTCACATGGGAAACCTGGATGGAGTTCCCAGATCCTGGCTGCGGCCTCGACCTAGCCCCGGCTATTGCTTAGATTTGGGCTGTAAACCAGCAGATGAGAGTGCTCCCTATCTGTCTCTCCGTCTGTCTCTGTCTGCGTCTTGGATAAATACATTTAAAAATAAAAGCAAAAATATAAGCTTATTTCAGTGCAAAAAAAATTGAAATCCATGCATAGTTTTTTCATAATATACATTTTCCATGAATTTTTTGAAGACTCCTCAAATGCACAGACTTTAATTTTTTGTACCAAAGTACACTTATCTTTTAATTCCATTTTCCATGAACCTTTTTTTTTTTTTTTTAAGTACTCATATGTTCAAGAGAGAAAGAAAATGCCAGAGAGGTTAGAGGGCATGTGGTGAGCTATGTGGACAGTGCATTCTGGGACCAAAGAGAGAGTGACCCAGGCTACCCGAGAGCTGTGGATGCAGCTGAGGAAAAGGAGTGATAGACAGACAAATGCAGAGATGTGCTAAGCACTTGAAAACCAGCAAGTGGTCATGTATTTGAAGAGCAGAAAAGAAGGATTTGCTGGTACTCCTCTTGGATGGAGCTGTCACAGGTGCTGCTAAGCCTGGCTCTTGCCTTTCTATTACCCCCAAGGCTCCATGGGTATAGGGAGAGGAATTCAGTTGCATCTTTTTACTCCAAATGGGCACTCAAAATTAAAAGAAAAATACTGCTGGCATGACCAACAAGAAAGAAGAGCCTGATCTGTAACTCACTGGGGGGTTAATTTTCATTTTTTTAAAGATTTATTTGTTTGAAAGACAGAGTTACAGAGAGAGGTAGACACAGAGGGAGAGAGGTCTTCCATTCACTGGTTCACTCCCCAAATGGCCACATTGGCCAGAGTTGAACCAATCCGAAGCCAAGAACCAAAAGCTTCTTCCGGCTCTCCCACATGGGTGCAGGAGCCCAAGGACTTGGGCCATCTTCCACTGCTTTCCCAAACACATTAGCAGAGAGCTGGATTGGAAGGGGAGCAGCTGGGACTTGAACCACTGCCCATATGAGATGCTGGCACTGCAGGCCAGGACTTTTAACCTGTTGTACCACAAAGCTGCCTTGAGATAATGTGGGTCTTTCAAAGCTTTTCTCTGCCCAATGTAATCATTTAAGAAGAATAGGTGTAATTTATATTCTGATATAGAATATAGTTGTATTTGATCCATATATACCCCAAAATATATGTCAGGAAGAACTTGTTATATGATGTATTTCTATTTAATTATAAAATATAGTCATTCCTTAGTATCCATAGGAAATTGGTTCTAGGACCCCCACATACTCACAGATGCCAAGATCTGCCAACGCTCAAGTGCCTTATATAAAATAGTGTAGTAACTTGCACACACCCTCCTAAATACTTTAAATCATCTCCTAGTTTCCTGATAATACTTAATACAATGTAAGAGCTATATAAATGATGGTTAAACTATATTGTTTAAGGAATCATGAGAAGGAAAAATGTGCATATTCAGTACAGTCGCAATTGAGTTGTGGATTTTTTTTTTAATATTTTCAATCTGCAATTGGTTGAGTCCACAGATATGGATCCCATGGATATGAAGGGCAACTGTGTATACAGGAGATGTGATGGAAAGAAGTCAAAATACAGTTGTTTATAAACTTTTTCATGAGTTAACTTTTAGATATATAGGCCAGAAAAATAGCGTATATAGCATATGAAGACTTAATGTTCAAGTATGATTTCTCTTGAAGAAACCCATCAGAGCTAAAATGAAAACCACATCTTTAAAAACAATAAATTTTGAAAATATTCAGCAAGTTTATATTTGTTGCTTTATTCAAACTTCCTGAAGCACTTAGCAACATAAATGAAGTAGGATCTTAAATTCAACAGAAAATGTTGAAAATTGGACTGTAGAAGAGGGGAAGCTAGTTTGTCGTTCTAGCTGCCACTGTTAGTTTTATTTTACTTCAGACAAGTCATACATCTCTCTGGACCTCAGTTTCTCCATCTGTAAAGGCAACACTTGTTCTGTGAGATTTCCAAGATCCCTTGTAGTTCGAGAATTCTGCGTTTCTATTCCTGTAATGGTGAAAGAAGCAATTCTCACCCAGGACAAAGTCTGCTTCTCTCTTACATTACATATTTGGATTCCACTGAAAATTTCCCTTAGAAGGGCTCTCTCGCTCGCTCACTCTCGCTCTCTCTCTCTCTTTCTCTCTCTCTCTCTGCAGAAGGTACCACAGCCACACTGTGTTACAGGCAGGTCCAGAGATCATTTCTGTTGCAGGTTGGATTCCTGGGGAAGCGCAGCTGACACACTTGAGCCCTGTAGAGTACCTTTCCGATTGGGAAATTCCTTTGGGATTGACTCCTGTTCGAGGGAGACGGGAGCTGCACTGGGCAGAGGACAAAGCTGCACTGAGGGCCCAGCTGGATGGCAGCCTCACCTAACCCCGCAGCGAGCTCTGGAGCCTCAGTGGTCCATCAGAGTTGTCCGAGCTGCACAGAAACGGCCGGGCTCGCCACCACCTTGAACAGCAGTAGCTGGGCAAGGTGTGACCGGGGCGAGGCTGCTCTGGGCGGCTGAGGCCGAACCCAAAGGCACTGACAGCAGCATGCCTCAGCAGCTGGCAAAGCAAGTCCTGCCTCAGAGAGGATCTGGGCAGGGCTTTTCTCAGTCTGACAAAATTTGTGACCACAGGGGTGTTTCAGGAAGCAATGTTTTTTTATGAAACATTCTCCAGTTTTACTTGTATTACTGTCCAGAATCTTAGAAACACCTATGTCTCATTAGAATATAAACAGTATTCCAACCCTTATCTCATTATCCTATTGTAATATTTTTAAAAAAAATATTTTATTAATTTATTTGAGAGGCAGAGTTGCAGATGGAGGGAGAGACAGAGTGGAAGCTCGTCCATCCACTGGTTCACTTCCCAGCTGGCTGCAGTGGCTGGCCCGATCTGAAGTCAGGAGCCTGGAGCTTCTTCTGGGTCTCCTAGCGGATGCAGGGGCCCAAGCACTTGAGCCATCTTCCACTGCTTTCCCAGGCCATAAGCA